ATATATGGTTCCTTAGGATATGGTCTAAGATCTAAGGCCACTAACGGAGAGATTCATAGATGTGTGCAGAGCAACAAAAGATTCTATACCGTACAGGTACATCTTTAATCACAACCCCTGGTACCGTTTACTTTGCATTTTGAGGTCACGAGACTATCAGAGTGACGGCAAGGTAATATATGCTCTTACAGCTCCAACAAGGTTGAGCACCCGTATCCGTAAGCATTAAGTTACGAGGTGGGTTGACTTGCATATGCCGGCAGAAGTCGAGTGATGGTGACGACCTTGCATTCAATACACATTAGAAAAACTGAATCGTCCAAGTACAGCGAGTTTCATTGCCGTCCTGTGGAGAACACAGCCTGCCTTGATGCGTACGGTACTGTAGCCGATTCAGGGTGCACTCAGCGTCTGCTTATTTCGCTCGCGGATGCTATTTCGTATCCGGCAATGTCGCAAAGCCGTCATGTACGAATTACTACTTTTCTCCAACCCGTCAAAAACGAGCATCTAGCGTCTGTGCTCCCAGCGTTTCAGCGCTAGGCAAGTCATCCGACGGGGGCTAATAATAGATTCATTTGGAGATCGGGCTGTTCCTGGCGAAATGTCTCACCAAGCCTTACAATAATAACGGTTGATTAGCACCTAAGTGAGGTACTTTAGTATTAAATGAAGCCGTGGACACCACGCCTCAAGTAAAGTAGGTACTTGTGGTCCCATTGACGACATTGATTAAACCGGTACATATACCTTGTACGAGTATGGTGGTTGATCTTGCGAGGGGCGTCTCATTCGATGCAAGCCATGTTCATATTCTTGAGAGCTTCGACTGCGTATCTGACCAAAAGTGAGAGAATTCCTGTAGGATGCGGGTCACTGACTAATGCGCAGCTAAGATGATGCAGGAAGGCCGATGCTCTGATGCATGATGCGGCACTCAGACGGCGCTTCTCACTTCAGCTCTTGGCACACCTTGTAAGTAGTCGAGAGCATTCAGCCGTTTCCGACGCCGCAAATTTGCGAAATAAACGCCGACAGGGAGAAGAGGAATGGAAAACAAGAAGAAAAATAGGCGGAATTATCGAAGCGGCGATCGGTCACTCTGCCTGTACTTGTATATTTGATGTGACGCTGCCAGGGCCAGGATTCTGTTCGTGAGATTGAGGCTGAATTGAAGGATTGCTCTTCCCCCTCTGCAATTACGTGGATGGCTCGATCACGACTCCTCCCGGGACCGGAAGGGAAATTAGACGAGCAGGTTTGCACATCCAGCAACCGGCTAGGACCCCTCCAAGATGTACTCGTACAGATACAGCACTGCACCTAGGCGTCGGCCGAATCGAAAAGCTGGGCGTCCGGGAAGGTGAGGGTTCCCATCACACCAATGTTCAGCTTCTGCAACCCACGGCTGGGCCCATTGTTGAGAAGTGATTTCGATTTCCGGCTAATTTACGCCGGCATGTACTCCGCACTTGCCGTAAAGTAGAGAGGCGGCAGTGATGAATCTGCATGCTTTCCTCATCTCTATGCGACTTCGGGGGGCAGATCTCCCGCCTGCTGAAGCGATGATTAAAGACCCGGCCTAGTCCAAGAGAACATGTGTCCAGCCCATGTGCCCGACATGGCTTGCAGCATGGATAGGTCTGTGTCCAAGGCCTTGCCTGGCAGCATGTAGCACTGGTGGCGGTCGTGGTAGCAGCACCCTCCTTCGAAAGGAGTAATACACACGCGTGGCAACAAGTATGAGTCTTCATCCAGGTGCCTGCTGATAGGTAGAATCAGAATCAGCACCGAGGGCAGTACTACAAGGGCAGAGGCACACACACACACACCGCAGGCACACCTTACTTACCTTGGGCATCCTATGAAGCTTGTTTCCAATAGCCCCAAGGTCGGCATCATAGCACCGGTACAAGTAAAGTACAAGATGCTCTGCGCCCGCATATGATACCGAACAAACAAGTTTGTGCAGTAGGCATCCCATCAGAGCCGTCCATCCACAGGGTTGCTCGCCACACCACCAGCTGGATGCAGTAGGTCGAGAACCAACGGCACAGGCGTGAGCGAACGCTGCCATTGGGCCTTCGGGCAATCTTGGAGTAGACCCGAGGATGCTTCACGGTCACGCCCGGCAGGCCACCCACGCACGCGGCCGGAGAGGACAAACCAAACGTCTTTGACGACTCGGTCCTGTGCAAACTCGAGTAAGCCTCTTTTCTTTTTTTCTCCCCTAGAGCCGGGTACCTTGCTTGCTCATCTCTCCATGGCACCAGACCAGCACATGCAGCCAGCTTGGTAGGGGGAACTGTCGTACAAGTCGCAATGCTCCGGACAGGTCGCAGCATCTTGAAATGAAAGGCCCGGCTGCTCCATCTGCCTCTCCATCGCAAGCCATTTGCTACCTGTTCGGGCGGGAACTAGCACTGACTGAGGCATTGGTCCGGGCCTCGATTGGAACGCGCTCCTCAGAGCTCCCCGCTTTGTCGCGCAGCAAATTTGAAGCTTGAGCGAGCATGTGCATGTGAGCGGCTGGGACAAGACCGGGGGCTTCGCAAGGCGTCAGGCGCGGGGAAAAGGCGGCGACGCGAGGCTACGCGAGAGGTCCTGAAATCTTTCAAGCGGCCAGCCATTGGCGGGAGTCCAGGGTAAGGGCAAGGAGAGAACAAGACCGGTCGGGCCATGGTGCAGGTACAAGGTACAGGTGCATGAGCAAGTACTGGAACAAGGGGAACCACTGCAGACAGGAGCGCTGCAGCAACAGGAACAGGTATCCGGTACGGGTGCCTGAGGTGGCACTCCAACCTTGAGGTTTGGGGAGGGGGAGTGTCGATATCTCTTTCCCAGGCCTGCAGCTCTCTTCTCACCCTCCCCCTTAGCACAGCCTTGCTCTCTTTCGTCGTGTTTCCTCGTTTTCTTCTTTTGCTGCCCATTCCTTCTTCCGGCCAGTTTCCTCGTGGAGGGTGGCATCTGGCAAGCGATCAGCGAGTGGCCTGCTAGTGGGCAGTCCAGGTAATACCAGGCCCCAAGTACAGGTACGTGCTTGTGCAGGCCATCGCCGCTGCTACACATGTAATGCTACGGCAAAGGCGATGGCCCTGACCCTTCGGAGCATCTTGAGATTAACACCTTGCGTGCGTGCTACTGTACGTACAGGTACGGCAAGGCTACTTGCTCCATGCATGCACACACAACCGTATGCACATGACGGATGTTGCAACGATGCCTTATCGTCGTCGACTGTCGACTGTTGGGCCCTGAGAACGCAAAAAGAGCTGCCGAGTTGCTGTACTCGTATACGAGCACGACCTAGGAACTTTGACTTGGAACATGTTGAAAAGAGAAGGCGACAGCACCGTACAAATACCAGCTCGGCCGTTCTCGAAACTCGCCCGGGCTGCCCTGGGCCGTCGGGTGATCCATTCTTTCTTTAGCTGCTTCACAACGGCGGCAGCTAGAAGCTCACAGTCGTGCCACAGCTGACCGGGGTCCCTATTTTCTCCTTCTTCCAGACAGGGAGCAGAAGCTCCAAACATGACTTCCAAACAGCCAGGCCCGCTGCGTCAGCCAAGTCGACCCATACCCAATGAGTCAAGTGGCCCTGGGGCTTTCCCACTTCCGACATGGCGGCTACTTGCGTCCGCGTGGCCGGCGGCCATCCGAAACCTGGCACGAAAAGCCATGTGGTCGGATCTTGCCTAATACAACGTGCGGCTTTCGTTGCTCCAGGAGGGATGACAGAGAGGAAAGATGACCAGACAAATGCTATATCATTACTTCGTAGACACGTCAACGGTTGGGCAGGCAGGGCCCGAGAGACGTTGAGCTCCGGATGTTCTCACGGGCGGCAGGCATTGTGCAAGCCCTCGACCGCTGTTGCGCTGCACTCCGTGCGGCGCCTTGGGTGTCTCCCAGTTGGCACCATGGGCGGTAGAAGAGTCACAAGTCCGGCGACAAAAAGAGCTATCCGTCATGCACACCTGTTTCAACAGGGGCAGTAGCAGCGGTCTGGCAGATTCGCGAGGCTTGTTGTCTGACCTGCAGCTCTCTACGATATAACGACTCGCAATAATACGCCGTATTGTGTTTTTTGACTCGCTGCCCCGCGCCGCCGCGTTGCTGGCATTCATGCTTATTCCAACAGTCGTGATGGACTATCCCCCCCCCCTGAAGTCTTACTGCACCTGTATAGTGGAGTGTTTCTTTCTTCTAGAATCTCGCTCCCGGCTCCGTTGACAGGATAATCCGCCCTGGCCCCGAGATCCACTGCTAAGGCATCTTGAAACGACATGGCTCTCCTCCTTTCATTACCACGTATGCGCAACATACTGTAGTAGCATCTACAGCTTCAATCGATATGCTACTGTGGACTACAGGTGGGCTTAAACATTAACTGTGTGAGATCTTCTGGTTGCTCGCTTTCGCTAATACTACTGCAATGCTCTTAGAACTAGACTCTTAAAGAATATGGCTCTGCCCGATATGGACTGAAAGCGTTAATACTTCGCATGTGGCCTACTGCACGTCTGCAAGAGCGGGAACTTTGAAAGCAAATATAAAACAGCAATTCAGCAGGCGGCGGGCCTGCCAATTACCGAGCACAGCGACATACTTGAGCGTTCTAGTTCGTAGCTACCCCTGAGGGAGCTAGAGACGTGAGTTTGTCTAGCCACCCCCCGGCTCGGGATGAAACGACTTGGTTTACAACACAGCTTGTCTTCAAGTGTTGTCATGAGTGCTTGTACGAATCATCGTACTGCCAGCCTGCCTCATTGCTCAGACATGCGACCGATTGCACTTTGCAGGCTCCGGCTTGTCTGCGCCTTGGTCCAAACGCGCGAGCTGGTCATACACATACATACACGCGCAGACGCATGCACTCGAGCGCAATGCTACGTGGATTGAGCATCTCGCGGCTTGAGCTAGCCCCACTAAGACTGGCCCGGTTGCACCGGCGCATATCCTTTCTCAGCACCTCCATGGAAAGGCTGGCACTCGTACGAGTACATCCCAGGTAGCCCTAGATTGATGTACGGGTAGCGTCGTCGTTGCCCTGCAATTCTTCCGCGTGTCGAATGATCCGTGCGCGGACATCCTGGCGATGCTCTTTCGACCTGTGGCAGATTCGACTTCGAAACTTCTTTCCTCCTATATCAGCAACGCGGCTCATCTCGTCGTCTCTGTGTATGTGTATCGTGGTCAGGTGAGGGATGCCACTTTCTCGCTTCAGCCTGATGCAAGAATGGGAATCCAATCCACCCTAGCTGCAAATGCCGTTCGCTTTGCCTCCATCGTATGAGAGCTAACGAGGCATATGCTAGGCACGACTCTGCAGTGAGAGGGCCTAGCTCCATTACGCCACGCTCGGGAGGAGGGGTGGATACCTTGAAAGGCATCGTGCTGCAGTTTTCCCAACCGTCATCCGCTTCACATGTTCTCCTAAGCCCAATTGATCGCGCGCGTTATCTGCATGAACAAGCGGAACGAGGCTGGACGTGTTAGTCACTGTTGCTCCCACCCTCTTCCGGTTACAGCAGAAGAATAACTCAGACAGCTGGGGATATCTCTTTCACATCCGCGATGGCCACGAGTACGAGCATTGTCTCGATTCAACACAGAGACAACAACTGCTCCACCACTGCCTAGTCCTCCTCCTCGGCCGCTGTAACTATTACCTGCATTCAAATGTGGCAACCCTCCCCCCCCACTTACAAGGCCTGCGATTTCTTGTCGTCTTTGACTTGCCGCTGGCGACCCCTGTCTTGGATGGCAGCCCCCCTGGTCACCGATATGCGCGCCCCCTGGCGTCAACCCTCCTTGTTTTCGAGGACCCCCCTTGCCCGTTGTACTATGCCATCAACTACCATGACCTTTGTAACTCGTTGAAGAGCCCATTGGTTCAGTACGCAAACAGGCCTCGAGCGACGGTCATGCGTTCGTCCGCGGGCTCTATTAAGAGAAAATGTGCTACTACTCTCCAGGAGCCGCTGAACTACCCGCCAGTGGTCCGGCCGAGGTGCCGTCTGGTAGTCGATTCTTGCGGCCCTTTTATGTGGTCCTTTGCCACTGCTTGGCTTTGGTCTTGCTATAAGCCCTGTCCCTTGATGCAAATTGCTGGCTAATGAGATCGATCCCATGCCGCTAAGATTGAAGAGCCACTTTAGCTTGTGCTTTCGCGCGGGCGTACAACTATCTTCGCAGTTGGAAGCGGCGGTCTGGCATAATGGACGAGGCCTTCATGCTGCGGCTCCAGGTGCTTGTGCGGACGAATAACTGAACGCGGCGTCCCTGATGGGTCTGCTTTTGCATACCTGGCGTAAAGAGAGCATCGGATCGCTGCGTCGCCGCGGCTGAGTTCCCCCTCTTGGCCGACACGCACATTATAGATGCTAGTAGTAGTACTACTCGACTTGCTCGACTGAGGGCCCAGATCCGCGCTGCTCCGGCTGGTCCCCATGTCAGACAGAGTTTTCATTTTTCGTCAACTCCTTACTTGTTGACTGGTTGTTGGCAATTGCCAGAGACTCATTGCCACTCGTTGTTTTCACAAAAACTACATGACACCAGGTTGGTTCATCTTTATACTGGAAGTACGGAGAAGTCGTTGTAGTAGTTCGACCAAGAAAGGCTTGTGGACAAGGGGCCGTTCTCAATTATACCCTTCCTGGTAGTGGTCCCTCTTTCCCGATCTTGGAACACGGAAGACTCCTGGTAGCTCAACCGACAACCGCAAGGGTGAGGAGCGCATGCTCTGCACTGCTGGCCCATTACAGTGCGGCTTTTCTCGAATCAAGAAGCTTCAAAGCCTGCATAGGCTCACCCACCCCATCCTCCTTCATCAGGTACCAGGTACGGAGACGCCCCCCCCACAGCTTCTTCTCCATCGATACAGGTCCTTGTCTCTAGCGGCAGCCTCCATTTTTGCCGTGTTCTCTGCGGACAATTCTCTGAAACCCCTCCTAACGGATATTACGAGTACTTTGTTTTCTGACAAGATCTGGAGCTTGCAGGCTCGGGACAAGTCAGTCATCCTGCTAGCATCTTGGGACCACCCGGCACCCCATACCTGCACGAGGCATATACCTGTATGCGAGCTGATGATTCCAGGACCATCGATTGCACCTAAATCAATGTCGGACCCCACTGAAGCGCGTGGTATGCGGTCCTCATTTTCATGTCACCATACAAGTCTATCCCAATCCTACCTCGTGGAACCTTGGAACTAAGATACGACCCCTTCAAATCAGTCTTGCGACCTGAACTTGGATAGCCACTCATGCCCTAACTTTGCTCAGACAGGGGTCGCTCACTGGTTCTTCTCGCTTTGCAGGCGGCTAACTACCTACTTCTTTCTTGGCCAACCCGGTCAAAGGGATACATCCACTGTATTACCAGTACAGCAAGCTCTCCGCAGGCCGAGATCAAAGGCAGTCCCTTTTCGAAGGGATCCCGCCCCCTCAACCCAGACCAAACTGATCCGAGCCGTCCTTGTTCCGTGCCACTACTTCTGAGCATAACTAAACTTGTTCCTCGTGATAAATCATTTGGTTGGTTGGTTTCGAGTTTCTGAATCATACAACTCGCGAGCGAGACGACTCAACCAGCAGCTTCCATTTCCTATCGGAGTACCACGGAACATTTCTTCGGGACCTCGTAAGCTGGCTTGACTTTTTCAGGATCTGGATCTGTCGATAACTTGCAGGCGACGGCAGTAGCTTCTCTGTCTGGCTCTTGTCGAGTTGATTTTAGCAGCGCTTTCAACCATTTCTCGAGAAAATCGTGTGGGTGATTCCGCGGGCGCCTCTCCATCCGAAGGGCTTAAACCACATCCCAATGCTCGCCACTAGGTCCTGCGACCCTGAGCACAGCCACTGGTCCTTGGGCAAATACTTTCCAGCTCCTGGTAAAGCTTCAGCCAGTCCACGCATGTCAGACCAATACGACTCCTCACTACAAACACAGCCAGACTGGCAGGGCCAGTATCCGTATCTTTCGCAGCCAGCTGGATCTGCCTATTCTCAACCCTCCGAATCGAATCATGCCAACTCGGGAGTAGTCCAACCTCAATCCATGGCACAGAGCGAAAATCTTCGGCTAGAAGCCCATGCAGATAGACAGCCAACACTGACACCCAGTTTACACCATAACACGTATCGCGGAGCAGCAGAGGACCACGGCCATCCTTCCCGACTTGCCGAGTCATCAGAGAGAAAGGAGGAATCAAGAAGCATGAGCACGACATCCCGTTTGCTGGACGAACCCGTACCGACTGCCAGAGCCACTACTAGAGATTCTGTACCTTCGGGCTACGTCAACTCAACTTCAACAATGGCGAAAGGCTTGGGCAATCCCTCTGATAGATTTGGACCAGATGATCAACGTGCGGTAGTACCGAAGGATGAAGATGATGCTTTACTTGACGAGGATATGGCCGAGGATGAGGCGGATTCACTACTTCAAACTGCGGCAGAACGGGTGGCAGCTCGCAGAAAGATGAAGCGCTTCAGGTAGGATTCTAGCCACGGCTGGTTATGAACAAGCCAGCGAGCTAACATGATGGTGAAGGCTTACGCACCAGCAAACACGGTTCTTGACGAGCGAATTTGCAAAGCAGCCCCACCCTGACGCTGCCCATCGAGAAAGGCTGTCCAGAGAAATACCTGGATTAAGCCCTCGACAAGTCCAAGTGTGGTTTCAGAACCGGTAAGTTAGATCAACAAGAGATGTGCTATCCCAGGCTCTCCGGGGGTGGGAGGAACACCAATAGCATCTGACTAGTCTGTTAGGCGTGCGAAGATCAAGAGGCTCAACGCCGATGACCGTGATCGAATGATCAAGATGAGAGCAGTTCCAGACGATTTTGACAATGTACAAGCTTTGCATTCTCCTTACGGGGCAGTCCATATGCCGATGCCGCTGGCAGCCCCCGTAGACTTTGGACACCACCCTCCATATCCGAGCAACTCGATGAGAGCACCCCTAATGGTGGACGTGCGGCGTCAAGAGGGACCAGGTCATATGTCGCCCACAGGCTTGACGCCATCGTTTGGCAACATCGGCTTTTACCCTTCGAACGCAGTAAATTCATCCGGAGTCATGTCGCCAATATCACCGCACTCTAGTGAGCGCTATCCTCCCCATGGAAGTGGCGGGCCACACGGGCCCCTGGATGCGCATCGCCACGGAGTTAGGCCACTCCAAACCTTTCATAACCGGGATCCGGTATCCAGGCCAAGGTCTGAGTCTCTGCAATTACACTATATGCATCCTGGTGTGAATACGCACTCCAGTGTATCTGATCGGTCTTCCTTGGTCTATCAGCCTGGCCAGATGAGCCAAGCGGCACCTAGCAGCGCAGGGGGTGTTGACCGGAGCCCCTACACAAGTAAGTTGATTATAGACCTCGAAACCGGTTGATTATTGACGCTGATGATGATCAACAGGCAGCAGTAATGCACAATCATCGCCGACAGGATTGAGCTACCCCAATTTCCAGCAGACATCTGAGAATGGATCTCGTCTTCGAGCTGCCTCAGCCTCGTTGCCCCTGAATACGACAGACCATTATCGAGCACTCCAATCTCCTCAGTCGCACAATCATCGAACAGCCGGATCTTCTTCGCAATATGGAGCGTCGTCAACCTACCAGGCCAGCTACGGCGCCGCTCCTTTATCAGCGCCGTTGACCCCTTCTCTGGCGGCTCCTCCACCGCGAACATCAGCTACACCATCAAGTGTAAGAGACTATCCAGAGTCGGTGGGTACACCTGGTTTTCCTCAGACTCTGCAGAGTGGCCTGAATGGTCATGATTCTCGTACAGCCTCGAGAAGCGTTTATCCTAGCGGGGCACCGGATTACGCAAATAACCAGCAACGTAATGACAGCTATGGCATCAACGATTTAAACAGCGCAATTTCATTGAAACGGGATCGAGGATATATAACTCAAGGAGGAGCAACGTCACCACTCGATAGAGCGAGGCCCTCATTGCATCATAGCACAAGTTAAATCTGTGCTTTAGGCACCAGAAACACTGCCAATACGATCCCGATCATGAAAGTTGAACGGGCATAACTACATAAACCACAGAGACAAGAATTACGGCCGATTAGTATACGGAAGGCGAGTGCATGCTACGTGGCGATGTGGCAGTTCACATATTACACTTTGACAAACGGCGAAATAGATGAGGCCAGGGCTTGCCCATCTACACTTCATTCGATTTCCCCCCCTTTCATTACCGTTTTCCCTTTGGAGTTGGGCAGCGAATGATTTATGCATTGGGAAGCACTACGGACGGGCCCTGGCAGGCTCGGCGGGCGCCACAAAATACGGCAGAGGAGCTGTTGGCTTATAAGGGAATCAGCAGGCCATACTCCCAAGCCAAACTCGACTACATACTGTCCCCAGGCCATCTTAGCTGATGGTAAAGGAGTTTCCTTGAGATTACTCTAACATTATTCTGGCGGTTTGGTCTGGGACTAGAAAAAAAACGCATTTACCTGGAGCGATACGACGGGACCATGTGCGGAATTTGAGATACCAAATACCCTTTTGGAGTTGGGCAAACGACGCAATATCTTTGGACATCCGACAATTTCTTCTTCTCTTCTTCTCTCTTGTATTTTTCTTTTCTTTTTCGCTTTTTTTTCCACATCTTTCTCTTCTTCCGCTTCGTCTTCTTCTTCTTATCACCTTCTTTGCTTTCTCTCCTTTTCACTTCTCTTCTTCCCGTTCAATTGTATAGATTACAAGGACATACCCGATTTTACCCCCTTTCTCTTGAGAAAGTTGCACTCTGGCAGGGACTGGACACGCTGAGACGTGACCTTCTTTTCTCCTTTTTCTTTTACTTGCATATAACATATATACTTTCTTGGCCGCCGGATGCTCCTCGTCGTTGGGCGAAGATAACCAATTGAATAGGTTTTTCTTTGTCATGACACAATTGTCATTGCTCGTCGTAAAATTTACCTGCTAGCTGCAAAGTGCACGAGAAAAATGTTTTCCAGCTAACCTTGTGATTTGATAGAAGAAGAAGGAAGAGAAAAAAGGCGGATTCACTTGGAACGAGGGGTCGTTTCTCGTAATAATAATTACAGATTTCACCTTGAGCCGCTTACAGCCTGTGATGTGGAAACAATGCTGGGGTCCGTAATATGCGTCGTCTAGGCTGGTAACGTCGCTGGGCTTCGTTGGCTCACCTGGATAAGCGACTCTGGTCAGTATATCGGTTATGAATTTCAAGCCAACTCGTTTGCTCTATTCAATACCACCACACTCCAATCAGTCAAGCCAATGATTATCCGCACGCAGCCAAGTGGTTGACGGTTATATAAACGATATTGTTTAAATCCCCTGAAAACGGCAGCATGGCAGATAGGTTTACCAGATGTTAGGTGTCATCATAATAGGCGGTGTGTTTGGTTGGAAGACAAAACGCTACGGGGTCGAGCCTATGAATATATATAGCTTACCTTGTTATTTCCAGTTTGTTCCAGAGAGAAAGGTGCATATGCCAGTGATGATACGACGGCATTCCGGTTGGATCCTGAGGAGATGCATGTGTGCGAGGTGAGGCATCTATTTGGTGATTCACGGAAATGTGAGAGAAGTCGAAAGACTGATATTCTATTCACATGCGCGCACACACACATTCACAATGGCCCATTGCACATGATTCTCCCCCGCAGATCGTTTCCCAATTACACATGGATATAGTGAGAATAGTATGTCACTTGCGTCAGGTCATCACCGCATCATGGTAGCCACACAGACGGGGCCCTCGTGATGATGGTTTTAGGCAAGGTTGCTGTAAAAGTGCGCTCTGGACCAGGCATCGAGATATCGTCGGCAGCATCGAGGCGTCGCTGAGTGATCAGAAACAAGCCGGCGGCGGTTTTTTCATTATCGATTGCTGGTCGTGGTTTGGTAGGAAAAAAAGAAGAAAAGAAGAAGATCCAGCGGGGAGAAGTTGGAATTTTGTTTGCACGCCCTCGGATCGGAATTCTGCCCCGCCGGTCATGTGATTTAGCTTGTGATGCGCATGTGCTCTGCTTACTGATGCGGTCGGAAGGTGGAAGGTGGAGAAGTGCTGAAAGCCTCTGCATTTGGGTTATGTAAGCATTTGTTCATGCGGCAGAAAGCATCCATTGATTGATCGAATTCACCGATGATGGAGCGCTAGCGGCGGTACCTGTACGGAGTACGAAGGACGAGCACGGCGAATTGTTTTTGGAGAGGCTGAGACATACAGGCACATGCCGTTGAATACGACGGGAGAACTAGTGCCTCGTTTAGTAACGTTGAAAGACACAAAGGTATCTCTTTGGTACTTGTGAATTTCTTTTTTCTTTTTTTTCTTTCTTTTTTTAGAAAAGCTCTGCAAGCGCCCAAAGTGTTTGTTGTCACACATCCCCCAGCAACGTGCCAGCGTTCCAACGAAGGCAAAAAGCGCACAGGCTCTTTCTGGCTGGCCCATCCTCGGCAACCACGCGTTTGTTCACGCAACAGCCCACTGCAGCTTAGCGCCGGGGCCCTTCTGTGCTCGCCGACGGCCAGTGCTGACAGCGCTGAAGCAGCACCCACTAGCCTTTTAGCCCGGCCAGGAAAGGCAGCCCTTGAGCCGCCCGCTCTTTTCCCAGCCAGCCAGCCCAGCCCAGTCCACTAATCCAGCGGATTGACTGTTGTGCCTCGTCTTTCAGGCTCGGAGGATCCCTTCGCCTCTCCACCTTTTGCTTCTCCAGCATTATCGCCTCTCCAGCCCTCAGCGCTTCCATCATCGCCCCCGTCCGTCGCCCTACAATCGCTCTCCCTGCCCAACTGTTGAATCGACGACGCCCACGGTTTTGTCCGTGTCCATTCTCTCTCCCGCATCTTTGCGCCGCAGCGGAATTTCTCCCCCAGCGAATTCCACCGACCGCCCCCTAGCGATAGGAAGGAAAAAAACCCTGAAAGACGCCGGGCTCTGCTCCTCTCGGCTCGCCGACACGGGACCGTCGCCCTCAGCTGTCCTCCCGTCATCTCCAGAGAACGCAAGAGACACCATCACCAGGCAATCCGTCACCGTCGACAGGCCGAGTGTATGAAGCCGACCGCCTGAATTCGGCCCTTCCCCTTACCGCAGCGACATCTCGGCCTCCCGGCCTGGCGCGACACGCCACTCTGGTCCCTCGCGAAGGAGCCTTGGTTCATGATGTCTTTCCACCCCCAAACTCCCCAAAGTCCCTCGCAATTCTCGCCCGCAACCTCTTCGGATCCCTCCCTCGGCTCGTCCGGCTCTGTGGCCGCCGCGGGAACAGGAACGACGACCTTGCCGACTCCTGCACACAGCGTCAACGGCAGCTCCTCGCACCCCGACTCCATCATGCTCGACGACTCACCGCACAAGCGAAAGCGGCCCCTCGAAGATGTCGGCGACGACCGCGACCTAAAAAAGGCTCACATTGACGACTACAAGCTCGCCATCGAAGACCTGCACCAGGACGTGGGCCTGAAATACCTCCTTCTGAAAACTCGTAAGACTCCCTCCGCTGCTCTCGTCTCGCTCCTCCTCCCTTGGATGACGGGATCTCGACAGTCGTTGGGATGTTTTTGTCGTTACTAAGATCTCTGCTTTGTTGACACTGCTATCCATCTAGCGCATCCCGAGTCTCTTCCTAGCACGTCGGAAGATCTCTACGACATGTTCGACTTGGCCAATCTGGCTGCCGAAGTCGCCAGAGAGAAGCCAAACGGCGAGAAGAACGCGCTCCGCAAGACGTACAAGGGTCACATTAAGCGGCTGGGCGTCACTGGGCACTTTGATGTCCAGAAGAAGAAGGAGGACTCGCCCTCGGATTTCCTAGCCATGCTGCAGGTTCCCGACCACGAATGGAACGTCCACATGGTCAAGGGCCGTTCTCTCATGGATGGCTTGTCGGAGCTGACCCAGTCGTCCTTGGGCCGCGCCTTGACTATGGCCAAGGGCCCGGTCGCGAAATCTGTTTGGGACACGTCGGTGTTAGGGGACATTGGCCCATCTAATGGTGATAGTTCGAAGGCACCGTCCGCGAAACCGACGGCGCCCAACACGCCTCTAATATCCATGCCTGGAGCGGCCATCAACCGGCACAAGTCTCAGCTGTCGTCTGGCTCAAATGCCGCACGACCTCAGCGCAGCATCAAGAAGCGATCCTATGGCGACAGCAGCTACGAAGGATACGGCGAGGGATTTCCCGACGACGATACTGGCCTTGAAACAGGCTACTCTACGGGAGAAGGTGAAGGAGGCCAGAAGCGCCGCAAGAAGGCAAGCGAGAACCCGAATTCCGATGCTGCCGGTCATTTCTAACACCGAGCAGAGTTCAGGAAACACACCGCCCTACCCGAGCGCCATGCGCCAATCGAGCTACGGCCCTGGAATGGTCGGAGTATGACACCTACGGCCTTTCTGAATCCGACCTGCCATTTCAACAGAGTTTACCGAAGGGACTCTCAGAGAGCTGAAATCAATGCTCTCGAAGAATCCAGAAAGCTTTAGTTTTCGTCGTTGATTTTGTGGTCCATGATGGTTCTTTGCAACTTGGACTTTTTGCGACTTGGGCGTGGAACAAAAAGAAAAGTTATGGGGACAATGGTTTTGGTAACTTGTACAGGCTCTATATCACGATACATGAAGGCTCGGCTCTCGCAGAAGATCAAAGGGGGACTGGCTTGCTTTGTTTTTCTGCTTTTTTTCTTTTCTCTTCGACATTTACATTTTTTTGCATCCTTGGACAAAGAGGACTTGAACCCTCACATTTGCGATTTTTGTCTAGCACGGCGTTTGGGAGAGGACAAGGGGGGTATGTATCAAGGGCGAGCAGAGGCTTCCTTTATTTCTATCTTCTCACCGGAAATATTCTGCCTCGCCCTTGTTCTTTTTTTATTCTTTTCTTTCATTTTTTCATCATCCTTTGATATTTGCGTTTGTACTTTTTTTTTCTCCGTTGTTTTCTGCTCATAACAGCAGAAAAGGGCCGGTTGGA